GAGACTTAGACTATTGGCGACTAGACTTCAGGTTTGGCAGACACTCCGTCCGACTAACGGACACTCCGTCGATCGGGCGATAGAACCTATGCTTTTGGATTCTCAGGTGAAAGCTTGGGGATTCACACCTATATCTTGGGTAATGGCCTTCATGCATGCACACGGTATTTCTATGGTAACTTAGGTGACTTGCTAGACTCAAGGTAGCTAGGCTTGGGTTGGGTTAACTAGTGTAACTAGTGACTCCTTAGTTAAGAGAAATCCTAGAAATAAAGAGAGATTGAGCATGACAACTTAGCTTGGTTTCTTGGTGAGTTCCTTATCACCAGGATTAAGAATCCAACACATGCCATCCTTGCTTCCAAGCTAAAGAGAGGGATCTCATTTTTCTTGCAAAACATCCAATAGTCCAAATGAGGGGAAATCCAACCAAATCTTGAGAGGATTGAGATGTATTATACTTGATCCTTAACCTTGGAGTATTTTCCACCAAGCCATCCTTATGATCCATCCATGCAAGAGAGAATATTTGAATTAGGGTTGGAGGATTGATCTCAAGATAATGAGAAGAGAGAGCTCTTGAGCTAACCATGGGATGAGAGGTTGTTGAAGCTCAAGTGCTTGACCTAAGGCTGATCTTGTTGCCTTCTAGCACCTTGATTCTCTTCTCCATCTTCTTCTTTCTCACTCTAGTTCATCCTTTCCTTTCCTTGTTCTTCCTTCTAGAGAGAGAGTGTGAGAGAGAAATGAGGAGAGGATGAGTGGAGCTGAGGATCTGGTGTTGGGAAATATCTCCCACTCATGCTGACATGTGGGCCATGTCCCATAGTGAATGACAACTCACTTCCCACTCAATCTGTTGTCTCTGCATGTTTATCGGATCGTCCGATACACGTAACGAATCGTCCAGTAGTTTCTGAATTTGCTTACCCTAGCTTAGGAACCTGATCTTGTGACTCTTGAATCCATTTGAAGCTTGCTCTGACGTACTCGTCCTTCTTAGTAGATAAAACATCACGAGCTGATTCCTTGGAGTGATATTCTCCTTATGTGGCTGGTCAATTGACTTCGGTTGACCAGTAGTTGACTTGAGACGTTGTCGATTAGTTTACGGTGAAAATGATGCTTTCCTTCGATTCGGTTTGCTTGAGATTGTTAGGGAATTCCATTTGACAAGAACTTGGGTGACCAAAATGAAAGTCTATGGTGTAACATAACTCGAGTTGTTACACTACATAAGGGCAACCAGGGCACCCTTTCCAGAGATTTTGAGTCCCCTACTCATTCACTCACTCTCCATCATAGCAGGGCTCCTGAAGCTTCCCTTTGGGCTACCCGTCTCCTAGCTCTAGCTCTTCTTCCTCTTCCACCATTCTTGTACCCCCATTATAAGAACTTTAGAGCTTTCAAGAGAGAAACACGCACTCGATCATCTCCGAGACTGAATGTAGGGCTCCGGCCTAAACCAGTATAACTCCTTATGTCTTTTGGATGCTATCATCGTCTTCCTAGAGCAGCGCGACAATCATATAAGTTTACTAGTCCGGTTTACGAAACACCGACAGTTATATTTATAAAAAAAGATACACAAGTTGTTTTTGCTTGGTCCTCATACCGTTCGAGCATCACCACACCTTGTCAGTTATCCTTCGTGTCTAGCTTATCAAGGGCATTCCATAGCTAGACACCCCTCAATACTTCCTTCCAAACTCAAGAAAAACTTTTGCCTCTCAATACTAGTTTTTTGGCGATTTTTCTCCTACTTATGTAGACACCCCTCTGCTCCTCTGTGCCAAAGCCACAACACTCCCCCTCCTCCTGCCACTCTATCTCTTCCTCCTAGTGACATGCTCTCTCTATCTTTCACCTTCTCTGTCAGATCTGTTCTTGGCATTCTTTAGCCTAATAGATAGATTCACAAACATACAAATATCGATATAACTTTTATCCGAGAGTATTTCATGGTAACCATTTCCACAAGGAACATGAAGTATAGTAAGCTTCAACTAATTTGTCGGGGGTAATGGCACCAAAGAAGGAAAAAGATGGGTAGAGACGTGTCGGTGTTTCGAACAAGCACCGGCTAGTAAATTTATAATTATGCGCGTTAGGCTCCGGATGGTGCGCTAAAGGACACAAGGTTTATACTGGTTCGGGCTGAATGTCCCTACGTCCAGTCTGTTGCTGCTCGTGTTATTAGCGCTGAAAGCGGTTCGTAGTAGGGGGTACAAACGGTCGAGAGAGGGACTGGTCCCAGGTCTTTGATGGAAGGGTCGAAAGGAGACCAAGAGCCTAACGGCGACTTGGCTATGTATGTGAGTTGAACAGAACCCTCTATGAGTTCGTCTATATGTGAGTTGTTTGATGAAAGTCCGTCCCTTCGGTGGGGAGCCCTGCCCTCCCTTTTATAGACCAAGGGGAGAGCAGGGGTTACAGATGGAAGAAAGAGGAAAATACCAAGGGTATAGAAGGTCCTTCGAAGGATTCGGTCTTCCTTCTTCCCTACGCCTGCTCTGTACAACATGGCAGACAGTGTCAGAAGTGGCGTGTTCGCTGATCTTCGTAGGCCATGCCCTGGCCCTTTTTAGCAAGTGGGTGCGTCCCATCCTCGCCTTCGCGGGCGGTATGTCGGTGGGGGTGTCGATCTGCGTCCCTGTGGGGAGCGGAAGGTGCGGTGACTGCTCGTTTGCCACTGTAGGGGACGGGAGTCCCCCCTTGGAACGTAGTGGTTGTCATATGTCTGTGTCGGACTCCTTGCCTAGGGGACTGAAGGCGGTGCCTACAACACTGTAGGGTGAAGAGCACGCGCCTGCAACACTATTTGGGCTCTGCTACGCCTGGAAGGGTCTAAGCGCCTGTCCCGTCATGCCCTGGTGATACTCTCCTATAGGGGCGCAGGGCATGGTCCTTGATGCTGCGGTTGACCCGAACGTCTTGTCCTACCCTATGCCTAGCATCATGAGGGAGTGGGATACGGTTGTCAGGTGCGACAGAGCCACTCCTTGGACATCGGGCGAGGCGAGGTCCGTCAGACAAGGCGGAACCTAGCCTCGAGGGGTCGGGCGAGGCGGAGTCTAGCCCTCAGCCCCCGGGCAGGGCGGAGCCATCCCCCAGCCGTCGGGGGAGGCGGAGCTGGCCGACGGGCATCGGGCGAGGCGGAGCCGTCCCAGCCCGTCGAGGCTCAAATTCGGCGCGGGCGGAGCCGTCCCCACACCATCGGGAGGCGGAGCCCGCGGCCGGGCCTCAGGCGAGCGCGAGTCTAACCCTCAGCCCTCGGGTGAGGTGGAGCCGTCCCCCAGCCGTCGGGGGAGGCGGAGCTGGCTGACGGGCATCGGGCGAGGCGGAACCAAAACTCCCGTCGTTCGGGCAAGAAGCGCAGCGGTGTTCTTGTCCGTTCGGGAGTTTTTAACGTTCGATGGTTATTAGTTCCATCTCCTTGGTACCCCGGTATTAGGTTCCCGACAAGACGGTACTTGAACAATAAACTAGTTCTACAAACTAAGCAGATCAAAACTTACTCATGTTGTTTACTTTACGTCCACAACCAACAAACTCGTAGAAAAGGACGAGAAGGGATTGGCAAGTTCGCCTCTAAGTCCTACGGAACAGAACTAGACTATACCACAACTCAAAAAAGAGTGTCGAATGCAAGTCCCTAAAAATGCTAAAATGCCAAGATAATGATGACCAATCTGTTGATAAAAAATGCTTTCTTTGTTCCTTACTAGTGACCCACATCTGTTAGTAAAAGGGTGGGGTTATGGCCGCAAGGGCGGGAGGTTGATGATGATCATCGGCATGGCCACCGGTGCTTGGATGCCGGCGGAGGCCGGCGGGAGAAGGGACAATTATTAGAGAAAAGAAGATGGAAGAATGAAGAAGAGGCGAGGAAAAAAGAAGTGAAGCAGCTAACCGAACGACGCGTGAGTAAAGTAACGAATGACCCGATTCATCAGGCTGCCACTACAGGACATGCACCGAGTTCACCTTCCTCGCTAGAGATGGTGCACGTATAGATGTGCAAACGGGCCGCCCGGGCCGGCATGACTGGGCCCGGGCCAAGCAGGGCACGGTGTGCATGACCAACGACCCAGGCGATGTGCTTGTTTTTGGCCGAGCCAGCCCAAAAAAGCCCACCGCATTCAGTGAGCGGGGCCAGCTCGTGGGCCACCAAGTGCCAGCAGAGAGCCAGAGAGAGGGGCGAGGGGGGGGGAGAGGACGCTGCCGCGGGATGTGGCGGCGGTCGCCAGCGTGCTTGCCCCAGCAACGTAGAAGGTCGGATCCGCAGGGACGGCGGCGACTGGGGACCAAACGGCGATGTGGAGGGGATGGCGAGCTCCTTCTCCAGCTGATGAGTGATGAAGCCGGCGGAGATCGTGGAGGCGCTGCTCGATCCTTCTCCTTTCTCACCCTCTCCTTCATTGTTGAGTCGCGGTCGCGAGCCGAGCGGGAGGAGCCGAGGAGGTAAGTGCGACGCGAGAGGGAGGAGGTGAGTGCGACACGGGGGGTGGGTGGGATGAAGTTAGGGATATGATGGGACCTTTAGCAGGCCATGCCAAGCACCGGGCTGATGCCGTGCCTCCCACTAAATTGCAGGCCGGGCCAAAAAAAACATGCTTCTGGTCGGATCGTCGTGCCTCGGGTTGCATGTACATCTATAGGCCCACGTGCAGGATCCGTTTCCAGACGGGTGGCACTGCAAATCTGCGCTTCGATTAGGATTACAGAGGGAAGCAGCAAAGCAACCGAACAAAACAGCGCCCATGTTCCTGCACACTGGCTGAGCGTAATGGCGGCCAACCTGGGCGCCGGCTCCCTTCCTCTACGCTAGTTTCACTACATGCGTGTATGATCACTGGTTATCATCTCTGTATCTCATCTAGCTAGCGCTGCTGCAAGGCAATGGGAAAAAAAACCAGGAGAAGTAAGAGACGTGGGTTGATGAAGAAGAACACTGGTCTTATTGGACCTCTTGTTGTGAGTTGTGAGAAACCAAGGCCATGACGGAGAAGACGGTGGTGCTGTACCCCTCCCTGGGCGTGGGCCATCTGAACCCCATGGCGCAGCTGGCCAAGGCCATCCTCCGCCACGGCGGCGTCGCCGTCACCATCGCCGTCGTCGACCCGCCCGAGAAGCACGCCGTGCTTGCTGCTGCGCTGGCCCGCCTGGCTGCGGTCAGTCCCTCCATCACGGTCCACCTCCTCCCCATTCCGCCCTGCGCCAGCAGCAAGCAGCATTCCCACCCCATGATGCCCATCCTGGATGCGCTCCGCGCCGCGAACCCCGCGCTCCGGGAGTTCCTCGCCTCGCGAGTCCCCGCAGTCGACGCCCTCGTGGTCGACATGTTCTGCACCGACGCGCTCGACGTCGCCGCGGAGCTCGCAATCCCCGCGTACTTCTTCTACCCGTCCGCGGACGGCGACCTCGCGATCTTCCTCCAGATTCCAGATGTCTGCGGCGCCGGGCCGTCCTCGCTCAAGGACATGGGCAAGGCGGCGCTGAACTTCGCCGGCGTACCGGCAGTCCGCGCCCTCGACATGCCTGACACGATGCAGGACTGGGAGAGCGACGTGGGCAGCGTACGGCTGCGGCAGCTCGCCCGGATGCCGGAAGCTGCAGGCATTCTGGTGAACAGCTTCGAGTGGCTGGAGTCGAGGGCACTGAAAGCGCTGCGTGACGGCCACTGCCTGCCCGGCCGCTCGACGCCGAAGATCTACTGCGTCGGGCCCCTGGTCGACGGTGGCGACACCGAGGAAACGGCGAGAGGCACGCGTGCCTCGAGTGGATGGACGAGCAGCCAAGGCAGAGCGTGGTGTTCCTCTGCTTCGGAAGCCTGGGCGCCTTCTCGGCGGCGCAGCTGAAGGAGACGGCGCGTGGGCTGGAGCGTTCCGGGGACAGGTTCCTGTGGGCCGTGCGAAGCCGAAGCTCACGCGAGGAGCAGAACTCTCGCGAGCCTGATCTTGAGGCGTTGCTTCCAGATGGGTTCTTGGAGAGAACCAGAGGCAGAGGATTGGTTCTGAAGAACTGGGCGCCACAGACACAGGTCCTGCGGCACGAGGCCGTGGGAGCCTTTGTAACTCACTGCGGGTGGAACTCGGTGCTGGAGGCAGTCATGTCCGGCGTGCCGATGATCTGCTGGCCGCTGTACGTGGAGCAGAGGCTGAATGAGGTGCACGTGGTGGAGGAGATGAAGATTGGGGTGGTGATGGAAGGCTATGACGAGGAGTTAGTGACGGCGGACGAGGTGGAGGCCAAGGTACGACTAGTGATGGAGTCGGAGGAAGGGAAGAAGTTCAGAAAGAGGACGGCGATGGCGAAGGAAATGGCTGCCAATGCCATCAAAGAAGGCGGGTCGTCTCACGTCGAACTTGGTGAGTTTTTGAGGGGTTTAGGATGCAAGTGATGGATTTATGTATACTTCTCCGTCGGTTTCAAATTACTAGTGGACACGTACATGCGACGCGCATGTGGAGGGAATAAATTACATGTGTTAGGGAAATAAGAACTTTTACAGTGATAAAAAATAATTTGATGCAACAACCATGTCAATACAATCCTTGCAAAACTTGATTTCAAAAATAGTGATGCAGCCACACCCAATCCAAACTGGTGTTGATTGTTAATTGTTACAACATATCTCATACTATACTACAAAGTTTCCTGAAATATTAACTTATCTTTCTACAAAACTAAAGATTTGAATGTCTACATGTGCTTGATGTACTAAAAATGATGCAGCCGTCAATACAATACAATGAAAGAAATTAAGAAAAATAAAATGGTGAGAATATTAGTGCAAAAAAAGGAGCAATAAGGGCTGATCTGTACAAATCATTGAAATGTACCATGATAGAACCTCCATAATCAGCAATGGCTTACATAAATGCCTCTTGTGCTGGTTCAGTCACTACAAAAAGGATTGAAGAAAAGAATATAAAATCAAAGACCATACGAGTATACAAAATCAATTGCAAAAAACTTTAATCTTTTCATGAGTAGTAATAACTAAAGAAAAGAAGAGATTAATTACATCATACACCAATGTAACTTATCTTTTCATAGTACCTGTAGCAACCTGAATGGTTAGTGTGCTAAAAAAACTGAGAATTGATCCCTATTTGCATGGTAACTGATCTTTCTTCTTGTAAAAATGAAAGTGCAGAAGGGGACTATATGTGTTATAATAGTAATAGAGAGATCCAAACAGGCCAAACTGTTATGAACAAAAATAACTCAAACCATGTTGGAACTGAAGCATACTCACCATGAAAAATTGAGACATGCTAAGATGATGCAAATGTGATGTTATGTTTTCCTCTACTGAAAAAAATAACCAGACATTCAGTTTTGGGTTTTGAGACAGTCGTTGAAGTAGTAGTCTCCTAACCAGGATTGTATTAACTGAAATCTCACCAAAGATTGAGCTTTTGACCAAAATTAACAGGTTGAAGATGGAGGAATCAGTCATCAAGAAAAACAATCAAAAGGTCAAAGAAGTGACATAGGACCTCAATAAATATACAGAACTTCTCTAAGAGAAATTATTGTGAAAGGAAACAATTAATATTTTCTCTAATCTCTCAAGCAACGTTAATGCAAATATACAAAACTTCTCTAAGAGAAATTAACACTTTGGTCTGAAGCGGTTAATTGGTATAGGCTCTTTGATTATCTCATTTAATGCATCCAGTGAGCCCTGAAAACAAATGTGCATTGTCAGGTAAAGGTTTTTGTTTAGCAATATTTGCAGATAGCATTTATCTAATGGAAACCACGGAATATATGCAAAACAACACCTGAGAGACTATCCCTGTGCATTGTCAGTGTCAGTCAGCCTAGTTTCCGAATCTGTTAAAAGATATAGTAAAATCAAAGTTCTCCACAAGTAATGCAGAAGGATCTCATCTAGCAGTATATTCCAGATAAATGGGAAGGCCTGTAAGAAATAAAGGTTTGCACGTTCGTTGAAGACCAGCGGAGTTGGGCACCCCAAAAATGTGGAAACAATTCAGCTACTTCAGCACCTTGATCGTAAGCAGAGCCAGCCCACTCCCACACAGAGACATCATTGTTTGTGGCGCATTCCACAGAAAGAGGGATCTTCAGCGGTTCCATTCCAGGAGCTCTGATAACTGCACCATGTAGTGGGTTGAATATACATCACAACTTTAGGACAGTTCTCTGAAAAATAAAATAAAATGGCTCACACTGCTTGCTTGACCTACCAATTAACTGGCAGCAAGAGGAATACTTGAAGACAGGTCACAAGTAAAATTAGCCATAATTGTTCTCATATTATGCATATAAGATTTATTTTCATATGAAAAAAAGTAGACATACTGGATCAGGGAACCTTGTACTTCAATATAGTAATCAGCAGGAGATGAGAGAGCAAGGTCTGAAAAACAGGAGAAATCCCCAATATCAATGAGCATGCATGATGGAAAGCAATTTGAATTCACACAAAAATATTTTTGCAGATACAAAAGTAATCTTCATCAAAGCTTATATTATGGGCGGTGTGTTTTTTAATTTTAAATTTGTCAGATCAAATAAGTAACGAAATTATTTTACATTTTATCTTTTCTAGATACGTTATCTTTTTCTATGCATCTAGATATATTATATAGATACATATCAAAAGTAATGTATCTTAAAAAAGTCAAAACGTCTTTAATTAGAATTGAGGGAGTACTAGTAATGAATAATGAACTGTCTGTAAGATGGACGCTGATGCAGGGTCTGGAACCTCGTACTTCTCATCGTTGTTTACAAAAGAAATACAGTACATTTTTGTCACAAAGCTCATACTGTTGCACTGGCGGCTGGCCGCGGTTACCATTGTTCAAGATTTCTCCGTTTTTGCTGTCGGCAAATCTACAGTCGTAGCCGCCTCTCATAGTCAACGAGGTTGCGTAATGCACTAGTGCATGATCTGCGTCTGCTGCTATTTAGCAGAAGGGCCAACAAGGCACGCACAAGTGTTCATAGATCATCACTGATTCATTGCCGCATCCACAATTCCGCATACAGCGAATGGGCAGCGTCGTGGTGCTGTACACATGGATGGTCCGGGGACACCTCCACCCCATGGCGCTGCTCGCCGACCGCTTGGCCGGCCACGGTGTTCCCATCACCATGGCTATCGCCGACGTCCCGTCGTCCAGCGACTCCCGTGAGACCGTCGCCCGTCTCTCTGCCACCTACCCCTCCGTCTCCTTCCATCTCCTCCAGCCGGCAACCGCCCGTTCCGGCGACGACGCCGACCCCGACGCCGACCCCTTCATCACGCTCATCGCCGACCTCCGCGCCACCAACCCCGCGCTCCTCGCGTTCGTGAGGTCCCTCCCGTCCGTGAAGGCGCTCGTGCTCGACTTCTTCTGCGGGTGCGCGCTCGACGCCGCCGCGGAGCTCGGACTCCCGGCCTACCTGTTCTTCACGTCCGGCGCGTCCCCGCTTGCTGCCTATCTGCACATCCCCATCATGCGGTCCGACGTCTCCTTCGGGGACATTGGGCGCTCGTTGCTGCACTTTCCCGGAGTGCACCCAGTTCCTGCCTCGGACTTGCCTGAGGTCCTGCTCGGTCCTCACAACGAGCAGTACAAGGCAACCATTGGTCTCTTCGAGCAGCTGCCCAGAGCGAAGGGCATACTAGCCAACACGTTCGAGTGGTTGGAGCCCCGCGCCGTGAGGGCAATCGAGGAGGGCAGCCCCCGCCCCGGCGAGCCAGTGCCGAGGCTGTTCTGCGTCGGCCCGTTAGTGGGCGAGGAGAGGGGAGGAGATGGGAACGCGAAGCACGAGTGCTTGACGTGGCTGGACGCGCGGCCGGCGCGGAGTGTGCTGTTCCTCTGCTTCGGGAGCGCTAGCTCGGTGCCGGCAGAGCAGCTGAAGGAGATCGCGGTGGGGCTGGAGAGGAGCGGGCACGCGTTCCTCTGGGCCGTGAGCGCGCCAGTCGCGCCCGACGCCGACTCGACGAAGCGGTTCGAGGGCCGGGGCGAGGCGGCGCTGGAGGCGCTGCTCCCGGACGGGTTCCTGGACAGGACGCGCGGGCGCGGGCTGGTGGTGCCGACGTGGGCGCCGCAGGTGGAGGTGCTGCGGCATCCGGCGACCGGAGCGTTCGTGACCCACTGCGGGTGGAACTCGACGCTGGAGGCGATCACGGCGGGCGTGCCAATGGTGTGCTGGCCGATGTACGCGGAGCAGCGGCTGAACAAGGTGTTCGTCGCGGAGGGGATGAAGCTCGGGGTGGTGATGGAGGGTTACGACGAGGCCATGGTGAAGGCGGAGGAGGTGGAGGCCAAGGTCAGGCTGGTCATGGAGTCCCAGCAGGGAAAGGAGCTCAGGGACAGGGTGGCCGTGGCTAAGGATAAGGCCGCCGCCGCGCTGGAGACCGCCGGATCGTCAAAGGCAGCGTTAGTTGACTTTATCAACAACCTGGAAATTTCGACGCACCAGTGAACCTATGAACCTATCAGACACGCACACAGGAGCAGAGTTTCACTCTGACACGAATTCTTCGTTTCTCTTTCTCGTGTTTCCTAAGCAGTTGGGATGTGCTGTTCTTTTAGCTAAAGAGTTGGATTGTGCTTAAGCTAATCTTGACTTTTTGGTGTGATGGCCAACTCCAAGAGATATTCTTTTCGACATTTGGCCATTTGGGCTAAATAAGCTCCAAACTGTTTCACAAAGAGAAGCCCATAAATTTGGGGTAAATTTGGATACCCCAAACCCAGCAAACTCGCTCTTTATTTGTTCAGAACAGGGATCGGCACCCAATCCAGGCCACGTTCCAGCTCCCGCGCACGAAGGTCCTGTCCGTTTGAACTTATTAGCGTACTGTTTTAGCGAAATAATAATATTTCTCTCTCAAAATAAATCAATTTTTCTCTCACACCAAATCAGCATCATCAGTATCATCAGTCAATTTAACAGCCAGCGACAAGCCTCGCCCCTGTTCCCCCGTCCCCGCGGAATGCCGCTGGCACACCGCCACTGGCCCTGGGCATCCCCATCCAGCCGGGGCCTAGAGCCCCCATCCGCACGCAGACAATCGCCGGCGACCCTTGTGCATTTCCACGAGTACCACCGCCTTGTACCAGAGACAAGTGCAATTTACGTAGTTCGTTGACATCCCTGTAACTACTAGTAGTCCACTACACTGGCACACTGCTACTAACATTAGTCGACCACTAAATTAAAGCGGTGTTTTTCACATTTTTCACTGCCTTACGAGCTCCAACAGCGCAGTGCTAGACTCTCCGCCGTCGCTCAGCGTCTCCTTCCCTCCCGCATCGCCGCCCGTGTCCGCTCACGAAGCTCCCTGCCGCCGTCCGACTCCATGAGCCACTTCACCTTGGCAGCTACCTCCTCATCCTTGACTATCTCTTTGCCGTACCCTTCCAGAGGCACGGCGAGGCGCAGATCGACCAGGAACACCTTGTTCATCCGCTGCTCGGCGTACATCGGCCACGCCAGCATGGGCACGCCGCCCATGATCGCCTCCAGCACCGAGTTCCAGCCGCAGTGCGTGACGAACCCGCCGACGGCGCCGTGGGCCAGCACCTCGCGCTGCGGCGCCCACGCCTCGACCACCAGCCCCTTGCCCTTGGTGCGCGCCAGGAAGCCCTCGGGGAGGAGCGCGCCGAGGCCGCCGGCGTCCGGCTTCTGCCCGTCTTCCTCGCCACCAGGCGGGCCCGGCACGACCCACAGGAACCGTTGCCCGCTCATCTCCAGCCCGCGCGCCACGTGCCTCGGCCCTGTTCACGTGAACTTATCATTCGGTCACAACAAAAACAGCTTCAGCCGGTTTTATCACCCAGCTTATATATCGGCCGAAAAGAGCCCTGAACCGGCCCATGCTGCCGAAAGAGGAACACGACGCTGGCCTCCGCTGGGCGTCAAGCCACGCCAGGCACTCGTGCCCGTTTCGCGCCAACCTCTTCCAACGACTTTATCACTGGACCGATGCAGTGCAGCGGTGGCGTACGTCTCCTGGGTGGCGTGCAGAGGCCTGCTACGATGGCGTCAGTGGCGCGGGGTTCCAGCGAGCGGAAGCTGTTGACGATAAGACCGTGGAATTGCACATCTGTTCGGATAGGGCGAGGAAGAGTCTGTTGACAAGGCTGTCGCGGTCGTGGTAGGCCGCCGGGAGGTCATCTGCGGGTATCGGCGCGATGCCCGGAACGTGCAGAAGTTAGCCCCCGAGGTGTCGGAGGCTAATAGATGTTTGCTCGTGGATCAAGGGATGGTATAGCAATTCCGCCAGGCCGGAGATGGATGAGGTAGAGAAGAAGTACGTGGGGATGCCCAGCTCGGCGCCGACGTCCACGGCGCTGCCGCAGAAGAAGTCCAGCACCAGGGCGGCCGGGGAAGGGGAAGCGACGCGGAGGAATTCACGGAGGTCAGAGTTGGAGGCGCGGGCGAGCTCGAAGGTCTGCACCACGTAATCGAGGGCGGGCACGTCGCGCGGGCGCCTGACGTACGGCAGGCAGTGAAAGGAGAACTGGGGGTGCGCAGCCGCGAGGCCTTGGGCAAATGAACCGGCAGCCGCGCCGCCGCCAGCGGCCATTTCGTCGGTCAGCCCGCCGAGGACTATGGCGACCTCGAGGCTGTGCGCTGCGAGCAGCTCGCCGAGGTCCACCAAGGAGAACAGGTGGTTGGTCATCACCGGCGGGGCGTAGATGACCACACGAGCTTCTCTGCCTTCTTGTCTTGGTTCTCGGATGGGGTCGCCATTTCTAGGACTGGGAGCCTGTGGGATCACTGTGTAGTTTCCCGTGAGCTTGAGCGACAAGGGGGCGTCAATGTTGTGTGCGCTTCGCTTTTGATACGACGCATGCGACGTACTAGTACTAGTGCCGGCTGCTCAGCCTGTTTATAGTACCCCACGTACTCGTATTGGGTCCACGAGTCCTACCTACCCGATCGTCGTCCTGCTCCTGACCCTGCACGGGATCGGAATCAACAATTAATACTGTCACGAGTTGCTTCTTTACTCGTCCAACAAACCACCGTAAACATGTGGCTGTGGTTCTGGAGTAGCAGTGGACGCTACGTCGACGCCGGGACCGGCCTGAGTGATCGGCGGCGGTGATGGCGTGCAAACTAAATACAGAATCGACTTGTGCATTTAAGGTCTGTTTGCAATTGCTTTCACAACTGGCCACAGCTTACCGCAAAAGCTTAGCTACGGTGCGATAACCTGAGGAACAATCCAAATAGGCCCTTAAGCTTGGTGTAGCGAAAGCCTATGACCGGATGGAATATTCACCGTGTGTTTTGTTTTGATGAAGGAGCATCTCAATTTTCTGGCAAAAAAGAAAAAGAAAATATTCAATAATTTTGTATTCAAACTCCTAAAAAATATAAGCATTTCATAAATCTCCACGTCAACTTAAATATATGTTTGTTCTTTGCGCTTAGGCCTTGTTTAGTTGACGATTTTTTTTTTGAAATGATACTGTAGCACTTTCGTTGTTATTTGACAATTAGTGTCCAATCATAGTCTAATTAGGCTTAAAAGATTCGTCTAGTGAATTTCGTCTAAACTGTGTAATTAGTTTTATTTTTTATTTATATTTAATGCTTCATGCATGCGTTCAAAGATTCGATGTGACGAAGAATCTTGAAAAATTTTGTAAAATTTTGGGAACTAAACAGGCACTTACTATATGATGTTCGGGTGGCCCTTCCCTGTGGTTTTTGTCTCCGTCGGACGGTCTTTCCTGTCTCGGGTCCATTTTTCGAGTTAAGGTTAGCTATTAGGCCATTCTCAGTGATGTTTTATATATCAATTTTCAAGACTCTTGTGTGTTAAAAACAGCTTATGCAAATTTTATTTATCAGACTCATTTCGTCCCATAAAACTTTTATGATTTTTTTCTTCATCTATGTATATTATGACATACCAGCTTATTTAATAATCACAAAACTTTCATGGATCCCACTAAGATGGGATTTACAAATTATTGGATAAAGACAAGGATAGAGTTTTCTATTTATTCTGTTTCCTCGACATAAAACTCCACGAAGAATGGCTTTAAAAACTTTTGGAATATGAAGCATTTGAGATGTTGAGAACATCTCCAAGAGCCTTTCTAAACTCACTCTCTAAATCGTCATTTAGAGAGTCATTTGTATAAAAATCGTTTTCTATATCTTTTCAACCTCTAACAATTTTTCTATATCTCATGCGCACTTTAGAGAGCCATTCTCGTCTTATATTTTTTGCTAGCAAAAAATCCGGAACATAATGGCTATATTTGGATGATCATTTAGAAGAGACGTTGGATGATAGCTTTTTACCAAAATATATATTTCTAGCATTTATTAATAATACGGAGAGTCTTTTGGAAATGCTCTGATGCTCCCTGCTGAGAGCGTCAACCACTTTGCTTCCTTGCCGCTGTGCACGGTGTATGAGTTGACAGAGGCTCGTCGCCCAACTGGCGGTCTTTGCAGAAGAGAGGCCTTGTTCTCCCTCCCTATCACATCGAATTTTTTAAACATAATTAGCTCATGATTCAACAATGTGGTGCTACAGTAACCATATGCTAATGACGGATTAATTAGGCTTAATAAATTCGTCTCGCGAATTACCGTAGATTTTTGTAATTTGTTTTATTATTTTTTATTCGAACACTCTTATGTGATACCTCGACGTGACATCCTAAACTTTAGTCCGTGGATTTAAACACCACCTGAAATTGCTACTATGCCCTAGCTGAAGTACCGCGATTATTTTATGGAGAAAAGATGTGCTTACGATTCGTGAAAAATACAGTAGTAGCTGATCACAGTTTCACAAAATAGTTGAATACCAAGTCAACCGCTTTAGGTCAAAATTGATGACTCACTTGAATTGATTAGGTGCTTTCTCACGGATCGCGACTCGCGATTACAGTTCTGTTGACGAGAACCTCATGCCTTCTGCGACCAAATCCATTCCTACACCCGGCATGCCACTTTGGAGGCTGCAGCCCATTCGTATCGCGAACATTACCTGACGTACGGCAAATCCCCAACACCAAGCGATCTACACCTACCTGCAGGCTGCAGCCTGCAGGCTGCTGCGGCGAGCCGCATAGCCGAACCTCCAGTAGTCCGGCCGATCATCTAGAAATGAAGAGCCAGCCAGGCTCACACTCTGTCACTCGCGTTTCCGATGTGGCCATAAAAAGCATGGAGTCAATTTGTGTCAGCGGATGAAAATAGTAAATCTGCACGGCCCATTTATTGGTCCACTCCACAAGTCCACAGTTGAAGCGACGGGCAAACAGGCCAAGTCAAGCCGGCGTGTTTGTCCCTCTCCGTCGCGAAGAACACGTACGCGATGCACGGCGGCCCGCCACAACGAGAAGTTTGTGTCTTGTGCGAAAAATCTGTGCGAAAAATCCGACGTATAAAGACCGCGCGACACTGCGTCAAAATTCTCACATCCATTGATCAAAAAAGAATTCTCCCATCCAAGTCGGCCCGCATCATCCATCCTCTGCGCTTCCATTCCAGTTCCAGCCTCCACCACCCCATGGCGACCGGGACCGCGACCGCACTTCCGTATAACGCCGCGGCGGCGGCCGGGAAGGATGATCCGACGAGGCCGCTCGCCATCGCGTCGCCGACCGTCCACCCGGCGGCGACCGACGACGCCACCGGCACCGGGGACGAGGAGGCCGTCGCGACCACCAGGCGCTGGCGGTCGATGCAGTACCTCCGGAAGCGGCGGTGCGTGCTGTGGTGCTGCGGCTGTTGCGCCACCTCCGTGGTCCTCCTGGGCATCACCATCCTCGTGCTCGCGCTCACCTTGTTCAAGGTTCATGACCCCGTGTTCACCATGAACCGCGTCACGCTGGAGGGCGTGGACGGCGGCCTCGGCACGGCGGCGAACCCGGTGTCCGTGAACGCCACGCTCACCGCCGACATCTCCATCAAGAACCCCAACGTAGCCTCCTTCGCGTTCGACCGGAGCGAGACTGACTTCTACTACGGCGGGGAGACGGTGGGCGTGGCGTACGCGCCGCAGGGCGAGGTGGGCGCCGACCGCACCGTGAGCATGAACGTCACGCTCGACGTGCTCGCCGACCGCATCTCGCCCAACGTCAACACCACGGCGCTCATCTTCGGCCAGGAGTACAACATCACCAGCTACACGGAGATCAACGGCAGGATCGACGTGCTCGGCATCTACAAGAGGGACCTGGACATCAAGATGAACTGCACCATCATGCTGGAGGTGGGGGCCCTCAGCAGCGTGCAGAGCAAAGCCACTGACTGCGTTGCAAATGTCAGCTGATTCTGGTTAGCTGCTGGTCGTTAGTCACCTCCATGGATTCAAATATTTGTCGCTTTTTTAGTTGTGCTTTTGCCTCTCCCCCTTTCATTATGTATACAAGATACAGATTGATGTAAAGCTACTTCTTCTTTGCTTTTATTTTTGTCAGAGCTTAGTGACTGTCGTAACTCATATACGTCTATCCTGATGCTGTGAGGCTTATGGGTTTATTTATGTGCTTTTCTATGATTTTTTTTATGAGAAGGCTGCCTATAAGTTCAGGCCACAATCTATATGCTGCAGCTGCGAGTCTGACAGGACGAGAGAAAACCAACTAATCCGTGTCTTTGATATCGATCGGTACTTGGTAGGCTAACCACCATGCTTTCTCATAGTTCCTTTTCTGATGTCGCGTGTTTTTTAATGGGTTTAATGAATCTGCTTTCCAGAAGCAATGCCCTGTTCACTTGGCTGATAAGCTATGACTGAAAATATTGTTGGCTAATTTGTTGTAAGAAAAAAATACTATTCGTTGGTTGAAAAAGTACGGCTTAAGCCAAGCGAACAGGACGATGCATGTGGATCTTTTCCTCGTTCAAATTCAGAAAAGACAAATATCAGATACAGATAACGTCATGTGGGACGGCATATGGGCCCTTTTAATGCCACAGTTGAAATGGGCCCAGAAGCCAACTGCTCCCTAGTTGAAATGGGCTAATGGCCGAATTTTGGTAAGGTCTATTTAAAAAAAAAAAACATGTCCTAGCAAATAATTCTCAACACAAGAAATCTTCTGGCAGATATTTAGAAATTCTGTTTTTTTTGCGAGACTTGTTAAAAACAGTCTTATGGAAGTGTCCATCAGTGATCTACAGTGCTGGCAGAAAACCTGTAGTGAGAGTAAGCTGACAATCTCCCTTTCAAAAGAAACTGGCACGCCTCTGTCATCTTCTTCCCCTTCTCTTCAAATCCGTCCAAATCGTGCAGCTACAGATCTGTTCCATATGGTAGTATGGTACTCCGGTACCAGTATCATACAACCATGACACTGTAAGCCACACTATAAAAAGTGCTCTTGAGAGTATCCATGTGCGCTTGCCAGCTCCGTCCGTGTCCGTCCCTGCTGCTTCGGTCGAGTGCTGACATGCTCTGACTGTACCTGATGGATGAAGGGCATGTTCAAAAGTTATGGCTCAAAGTAATATTCGTTGATTTGTTGTGAGTGAAAAATATTGTTCCTTCACTTAGGTTTATAAGAGAAGCGAACGAGACCAAAGACGCGTAGTAGTACAGTATTCCGGAAGTATAACATGCCAGTCATGGATGCAGTACACCGTACGCCTGTACGCTCAGTCGCCTACGTCCTCATGCTGCCCGCCATTTCTCCACCGTGATAATGGCAGCTTCCTCTTCTTCATCCACACTCTGCTCTAGTTTTCTTCCATCCAGTGACTGGGTTTCTCCCAAGTTGTGCGAGCCACGGCAAGATGAGCACCGGCTGTATCAGTAGCAAATGTACAAAAGAGCTAGTAGCCATGCTGCGTGCTTCAGATTGGCCTTACCATTGTTTTCTAGTAGTGCTACATCTAGATCTAGACTCTAAGCACGTCTAGAATACGGGATTTTGTTTTCTTTTTTTGCCCGGACTCGCAGGAACGGAATTTATCTGCTAAAGTTTCTATGTTCCGAACATGTCCCACGTCGCTGCACTGAGAATTATTTGCGCTCATAGTGGTAGATCAAGTACGTACAATTACACACTTCGAAGCACAAGCGTGCGACCCACCGTGTCGTCGTCTTCCTACGTTCGGTTCTTCAATGCCCCACAGCCTTAGAACGAAGGAGGAGGGGGCCTCGGGGGTCGGACCGGCGGTGGTGACGGGTTGAGCGGCGGGGGACAACCGGATGGTCGGAGTCAGCCGTAGCGGCGAGATGCTCGAGCTCTCATCATTCGGCTAGGGCTACGGATACGGGATAGAGCGGCTGGGCAAGCGGTGGGCAGCAGGGAAGCCACTGGTCGGGGGGGGTTTGAAGGCTGGAGGTGGGAGCACTGGTGTAGTTCAAGAAAGAAGAACAGTCTCGGTCTTTCTAAAACGGGCGGCCAGTCACGGCATAACACACTCCAATCATAGCTGAGATCAGTACATGGATTCGACTCAGGAATCTAGGGCACATTTGGTTGGTGGCGCAGTTTGCCACACCAAACATTTGATAAATTGTGGCTGCCACAGAAAGTTTGACAAGTAAAAGCCACACTTATGGCAAAGTTTAGCAAGAAAATAAGTCAATGACGTGTGAGACAAGATGCTAAAAAAATGTAACACGTCATAGTTGTGGTGGTGAATCAAACAGTTGCGAGAAAAACTGTGACATGAATAACCTGTGCCATAGCAAATTGTGGTTAGGGACCAAAAGGCCCAGTCGGAACAGTTTATGCAAAGCACGGAAGCATGCATGTGAGCTGTTTGATGGAAGCAGAAACGTGTCTACTAGAGGCCAAACGCCAGAATGCAAGAGCCGCCAGACAGCGCCCACAAGCGGACGGCAAATAAAGGCCATAATCTGTTTCCTGACAAGGCCAGACAGCTTCCATGTTCCATCCAAACGAAGCTCATAGTCTTGATGAAAAAGTAAACCAAACAGGGAGGACCGGTTAACCCACGAGGCCAGGAGAATCAGAGAGGCAAGCCAAGAAAAGCTGAATTCAGAACTTCACGAGTATACGTATGGAGTACTATCAATTATCGACAGGTACCAATGTACGTAGGAGTACCAGCTTTTAGCTGCCAAGTTTCCAATAAAATCTTAGGCCTTGTCTGGTCGGGCGAATTCGGCGTCGTCGGATTCACTGTGCGCACTATGTCTACATTTAGTACTCCATGTATGTACCACAAGTTTGATGTAACGAAAAATTTTCTTTTTACATAGTGTCAAAGTTGAGAGTTAGAAGCAACTAAACAAGGCCTTAATGTACCACACAAGCTGGAACAACAGTGAAAGCAACATTCTGGATCTGGAACAGGAGTAAAAGACAAATTCATAACCAGGAAGAAAGACAAAAGGGAGCAAAAGGCCTCACCGTCGAGACTTTGGAAGCGGGTAATCTAGGAAAATGGATGATGGTCTTGTTCACTTGAAGCTTATCAGCCATATATAATCAGTTTGTTTGTTTGGGTCGGTTTGGCTTATAAGGTATGATTGAAAATAGCGTTGGTTGATTTGATGTGAGAGAAAAATACTATTCGTTGGCTGATCAGTCATGACTTATGAGCTAAATATGATCCAGTGAATAGGCTGAATATTTTTTTCTCACAACAAAACAACATCGGTCAGTTTATTAGCCGCAGGAATTATCAACCGAACAGACAGGATATTTGCTAAAAAGTCATCATGAGTAGTAAAGTTTTGTTTGCCTTGCTGTTCTACTATCTGGGCCCTAATAAATACATCAGCCTTTTGAAAATCCTCTGTAAGTACGGCTACTTAAGTGGACCCAATTAGAGTACTCCCAAGCGGCCAAAGCCTACAAGAAGCAACTCCAAACCGTACCGCTATGTATTTTTTTTATTGGTGCAACTTGAACGCGCAACTTCATACACTTCACACTCACACTCACACTATACGCACACACGCGTACACGTTTATACACACTTAGAGAAGAGATTGAAAAACATCGCAAACGCACAGTAGCATCAACAGTTCTACCACCGGACTACAGGCCTATTCGCCGTACCGCTATGTATTGACTAGCCAACAGATGTACAATATGCGACAGGGAAATGGTACGGCCCAATTGAATGTGTACAAAAAGAGATTGTTTTCTGACTTTACTGCATGAGAAGAAAAATCAAACACAACCCTAGTACTCCAGTAAGTAAACATCTAGTACTGCATATTCGCAAAAAAAACAAAACATCTAATACTGCATAGTGAATTTGCATTCGTTTCATCGTAAGCGATCATGGATTATTTATTGCTGGCTGGTTTTTTGTGTGAGAGAAAAATATTGTTCCAACTTATAATCCACGATCGTATACGAGCAAGCGAACAGGCTGTTGGTTTCAGTATGATAATAATGTGCTTGAAGAAACATCACTTTGGAAGTTTGGATCATCAATGTGCCAACAAAACAAGTTCAATTATCGATTAGGAACAAAGTAGCAGGCTGGATCATTTTTTAAGTTAAATGCATCGTATGTCCATTAATTTTTGGTGGTGTGTTATTTCGGTCCATCAACTTTCAAATTATATTTTTGGGTCCATTAACTTTTGGTGGTGTGTCATCCAGGTCCATCAACTTTCAAACTGTATTTTCTTATCCATTAACTTTTGGTGATGTGCCATCTAGGTCCATCAACTTTCAAATTACATTTTTGATCCCTAAACTTTTTAACTGGTTCATCGTAGGTCCATATCCCTTCGTTTAGCGAATAGATCTGACATAGAATGCCAAATAAGTAGCCACCATAGAGTAAGTGATGAGTCCATAGCTCCTTAAGATGTTCACGGAGACTTGTCTAGCAATAATTCAAATGTAGCGGCTAGTAATTCGTTAATATCCCCTGGTCTTAAATTTAGGACGATAAATATATTGTGGACATGGAGAAATTTACAACCGTTGGATTGTCATCAAAGATATTTTATAGAGGTGCCTTATTATTGCGTGGTAAGGAGGAGAAAATGAAGCCAACAAAATACATTAGTGCTAATTCTAAAGAGGTGGAGATCATCAATTGAATTTTTTCCAACGTGATTATTATTTTCATGCATTAGTTTCCTATCCAGTTATGATACACAATCTTTTATCTAGCATCTAGCTTTTAGTGCCTGCGTGCACCTGTGTACATGAATCAAATTGGTGGTTGCGTTTGGACATGCCATGCATGTTAGTCGAATCAGGGACTTAGATTCAATAAGTCCTGGTTGGGCTGGTGGAGTCCGAGTTTTGATTGGTTCAGGTGGCCTGCATGCCTATACCTGTGGCCTTCGGCCTTGTACCGGGTAGATTAGACTGGAGTTTA